CACACACACACACACACACACACACACACACACACACACACACACACGCACACACACACACACACACACGCACACGCACACGCACACGCACACGCACACGCACACGCACACGCACACATATACGTACAAACGGGCACACACTCAACAGTATTATGACAGTAAACAATATCGTAATACATCTGATTACTATTATTTCGCTTACATATTCCGTCCGAAACACGCTTGACCGCTGGTCGTGAGATTTCAACGTCGCTTTCTTTCGATGCACATTAATAGATTACGGGTACGCACTACTACATTACGATGTTTTCTCTATGTCTCTCTCTTCGCAAACTTGAACGCTAACTTTGTGTAATCGGAACATTTCAGAACCTACTTTTACCCGTTTATAATTTATATTATATTATATGATAGGTTCAAGTGCATGTGAAGATATACTTGTGATTCTTTCTTTCTCTTACGTAGTAGACCTCAGTCATAATGTTAGTAGAAAAGCACGGATCTTAATTTTATTTTCAAATGGACCGGAGATTTATTGTTTCAATTACATGTGTAGGTCTTGTATTGAAATGTTATTTGTATATTTGGAATATTTCGTAAAAACCTATTATGTATAGTAATATGTAACTGCAATTAAAATAGATATTTTTATTACGGTAAACATTTATTATTTTAAATTTGTAAAATCGTAATTCTATATAACGTTAATTTTTAAATAATTCGGTTATGAATCTGTTAGTGAAAGTACATATTATTTAAGTAATCATATTTCAAATACCTGCATTTCCGTGTGTTTAAACTGCTATAAAACATAATTAAACGTATAATGAATGTAATTTCTACTATTATGAAATCTAGAGGTACAATAATGAAAATAAACAATAGAATTAAAATGTATGCGTGTGTGTATTTCGTTGTATTTTAACTTATTAATCATACAGAAAGAGACATCGATTTGATCAAACTGAGGATAGAAAAAAAATGAGCTATAATGTTTTAAGCTGGGAAACATAGTGCTATTGTACACTTTCAACGATAAACGGTTTCAATAGAAGCATACATTTTTTAAATATTCTATACTTTATTTTAGTCGTTTTTAAATGCCATTTGAATTATATGAACATGCATTATAAGTGAAACAGTTGTAATAAACTGTGAATATAAAGTAACTAGTTATAAAAGTAAATTTCTTAAAACAAGTATTTTGATGTGATTCATATCTTATATCAAGTTGTGCCTTTTTTTGAAATTATTTTGATTTTGAAAATATCCTCAGACAAAAGAAATAAAACACTATATAAAATAAATTTAATTTATGGCACCGCGAAGAAATTATAGATAAAACATCAGTTAAAGTTTGTTAAATTAACAAATTTTATTTTTTTAAATATTATTTGTTTTAAACATGACCTAGTTCAACCTTATTTATCTTTTTAATTTTTAATTTATTTTTAGTGTAATAGGTTTTAATGTATGTTATTAATGTTTTAAAAGCATAAATTATTTACGAATTTACCCTAATGAAACTGATACTTCATCTAGTTAAAATCTGAACCAATTAAATGACTAATATTAAATATTATTAGATTTTATTTGAGTTATTAATTGAAAGATATTGAAGTCTACAGAACAAAAACTGCAATAAAAGCATAGTTATAGTTTTTTCTGTTTATATAGCACTCACTGTTTTAAAATAGATTCTAGTTATTGACATAATTATTTAAAAGCACATAGATTCAGATTAAAATTTAATGAATTCTGTCAAACAATAAATTTTTTAACAAGTTGTTAAAAAAAAGAATTTGTCGAAAATTAGACTAAAAATGGTAAAATATATAAACGGTATCTTTTTATACAGAAGCTTTACTCAAAATTGTTTTGCTAAAGAAATTAATTATCATATACATTCATCATCATTATTTTGTCTGTGTATCGAAGGGACGAAAGACAAGTTTCTATCTCCATTATCTTACAGGGTTTTTTTTGTTTCGTTTTTAGATTGACGCCAGCATACATGGTTGTCCTATTAATGGCTGAAGTGTCTAGTCGATGGCTTCGAAACATTTCAGTTTTTGAACCAGAAAATAGCAACCATATTAGCTGTGCTAATTATTGGTGGAGAAATATATTGTACATAAACAGCTTATATCCCAGAAGCGAAATGGTAATCATCAGCATTATGAAACAATCAACAGCATTGACATTTTTTCAAATTAAATTAATATTTTATAGTGTATGCTGTGGAGTTGGTATATGTCTAACGACACGCAGTTTTATGTTTTAGCAGTCATACTACTTCTCTTTTCAGCCCGGTAAGTAAAATAATAATTAATCGTTGACCTTAAAAATGATTTTATTGTATTAAGTAGTACTACGTTTCTATAATATTAAATTTATATATCGATTGTTTATAATGTTGAATACTAAAAAGAATTATGAATTATTTCAATAGTGATTCAAAATTATATGTATGGATTACAGTTAAACTTACATAAGTATCATATTTGTTTCGACAATTGAATGGAATCGATAGCAAATTAGATAATGTACACAGCGAACCAACCAAATACTTTTTTTTTTCAATACGATTCATTTTTATTTTACAGACATTTCAAAGGAGCAGTGATCGGATTGGTGGCATTCTTGGTTGGATCGTGGGTCGTAACAATATCAATCGCAGTGCATTATAATTTTAAAGCAAGGTAAAAATCGGCACAAAGCTAATGGTTATCATATAACAATAAATATTTAATGTTTGTACTAAAATAATTAATACATAGTTAATAGAAACACATTTCTTTAGTTTTCAAAAATATTGATTATTCGTTTGTTTTAAAGGATAGAGGAACCTTTTGGATTGTTCGACGAGCTTTACGATAAACCCTGGTCAAGACTTGGACCTTATTTGTTTGGCATGTTTGCTGGATGGTTTTTGTTCATCACTAAATGCAAATTAAAAATGTGTTTCGTAAGTTGTAGTTTATACGAATAAAATTTAAATATAGGTATAATTTAATATAACCGTAGATTGCATCTTTCCATGTTTCTTATTTACGAAAATAGTGTACACAATAAGCTAATTTATATGATAAACTATAAATAACAAAATATAATACCCACAAATTATTTTAAAACACTAAATTTATTATTTTTATACTATTAAATGTTCAAATATTATAAAATGTGTTTAAAAATAATGAAGTATAATATGTTTAATATATAAACAGTAGATAATTATAAATTATATTTTACATTTTAAAATTGTATTCATAACTTAGAAATTATTCTAGTTAAATAAACACTTTAAATTAAACTCATTAATAATTTAAAATAATTTCTATGCAGTATGAAGACAAGACAATACACAAAAGACTAAAATTTACAATTCATCCCACATAGGTTTTTAATTATTAACAAAGCTACTCAATAACCATTATAAATATGTCAATTAAAGGTAAATAAGTGGGTCAACAGAAGTGGGTGAGTTGGTAGTTTTTTGTTCATGTAAATTAAGATTTGATAATATTATAACAACGAGAGTGTAATGTAATGAAAATTGTAATCAATACAATTGAATGAATACAATATGTGTATACTTATATGCATTATAATTCGCTTAATTGTTTATTACGAATATATATATACTGAAGGACTAATTCGAATTTCATACAGCTGTGTTTAGATAGTGATACTCGTAAAACATAAGTATTTAAAATAATTATTATTATCTTATTATGCATCAGTAATTTCACTAATAAACCTATAAATTTACTCAATTAATTATTAATTCACTATAAGGCTTATAGATAAATTATTTATTTTGTAAGAAAAATATAAATATGTACATATTTAAATCTTTAAGAATGGAGTTGATGAAAACTTAATTTTGGAAATTATATAATATGTGACTTCTATCTTATTTTTGATACCTTAAGTACTATTTCGTAGGACGTTAGTACTACTAAAAATGTTATTTATATTTAATAAATGCATAGAAAAATCTTTATAATTATATTTAAATAATTACAATTATATAGGGAATATAATATTTTAATGTTTAACATTTACATAATCGTGTATGGATTCACCGTACACTAAACAGTGCTTTCGTACCTATTAAAATAATGTAATCACTCATTTTATAAACAAGTGCGAAAGTTATCAAAACAATACAAACATAATATGAAATTTTAATTTACATTTGGAAAACGATTTGATCTACTAATATCCAAATAAAATACGAATGCATATATTCATTATTGTACTGTTGATTAATTATTTGTAAATTTTATTATTTTTCTCGGAGAATAATAGATTCACGAGAAATGTTTTTAATATAATATTTTATAAAATTTACTATGTTGTGCGGTTTAGTTTTATAATTCTTTACGGTTAGTGATAGAGTTTGTGCTTATAATTTTACGAACCAAAAAATTACAAAATACCACCATCTCGGAAAACGTTTTTTCCTCTTTTGAGTAGTTTTAAAGTTTACTAATCGTAACTAAATTTCGTAAATATAATTTTCACGTGTTTGTCATGCATATATTTAGAGCCTTAATAAAATTGAACTAAAACGGTCAGGATAAGCTAAGTTATATAATATCAGACTCGTATAACACATGTTTGACATGTATTGACGCGGAAACTTTAACAGTCGTGTACATCTTTAACGAATAGACGGGATAAAACGTAGCCGTCGACGCGTCAAATTAGGAAAAAAAGTTAACGCGATATAACTACAATAAACTGGCTTTCTCCGTCGGCGGACCCTTACAAACATCCGTACGAAATCGTGTGTTCAATTTCTTTTCCATACGACTCGTTTTCAAAACCGCAGTAGTAACTAACCGTTTTCGTTTCCCCGCAGTGGACGGTTACGTTGGGCTGGTTCTTCTCGCTGTTCACCTTGGCGTACCTGGTGTACGGTCTACACGTGGTGCACTTGGACGTGGCCGGTTCGGCTCTCTACGCATCCGTCGGTCACTCGGCCTGGGGCGCCGCTCTCGCGTGGATCGTGATCGCCTGCTGCACCGGTCACGGCGGTTGCGTCAACTCGGCCCTGTCCTGCCGGCTGCTCCAACCGCTCAGCCGGCTCACGTACTGCGCCTATCTCGTGCACCCCCTCATCATGGCCATGACCAACTTCCAGATGGACGGACCGCTACATCTGCACAACTTGATCACGGTAAGAGTGGTTTTTATTTTCACAACAGCGACCGTATAAGCGTCACCACTAACGGATATCGAGGGGTATCTTTGCTACCCCAGAAATTATTGCGGGGTAGAAAGGGTATTTTTTTGCTAACCTAAAAAAAGCAATAGATTTTAGAAAAATATATTCGATGCTTATCGTTCAAGCGTGACTCTCTATTATTGTGATTGTATCCAAAATAATTATATTTTGTGATAATTCCGATGCGGGCGATAAGACAGTGTACAGTACACTATGCGTCATACCAAGATTTACGTATAAGAGGTTAGCCAGTTATGAAACCTATAAAAAATTATTTTTTTGGCTTTCTAAAAATAAACTTTGTTACCCCAAAATGTGGACTCTAGCGACGCCCGTGACAGCAATCGTGCCGAAAACGTTCCGCGCGCGTGCACTCGGGTCGGTTTGTTCTTCAGCCCCGAACAGTACCTCGTTCACCACACGGTTAGCGCGCGACGCGTATCGATTAATACCGTACACTTTCACCCGCGCAGAGATGTTATTCGATTTGTGCGGATTATCTTAAACAATTACATTGTAGTTGAACTGCAGCGTGTACTCTGTATTGTTACTGCTGAGCGTTACTGCTGCGCGTATTGGAACGGGCAACCGAAGAAAGTGGAATGAGGTTCACGGTTTGGCGGAGAACAAGAAAATTCCATTGTCGAATCCGCTCGAGATAATCGTTAACAACGTTAACGTTTTTTTTTTGGGCGCATTCATCGTCATATTCCGAAGACTTCGAATTGAACTATTTTTACATTTCCCCGACGCATTATCCGTCTAAACTCGATAACTATTTCCAAATTTAACCTGAATACTGCAGGCGTACGAAGAGAGATTTAGTCGAAAAATCGGATACGCTTGTTGAAATAATAGAGCCATTGATTTATATCGTAATACGTTCAATTATTTTTTATGTTTTTTTTTTCGATAGTCCTTCAAAGTTGATACTCGAGTATTTTCGATTATTACGGGTTGCAAGATATTTAAGTATAGAAAACAAATCCACTTGAGTACACGCAGACGTAGATATATTAAGTACACGAACCTAATCGTTTTGTTCGTACGGAGAAAGCGATTATTATTCTCCGTTGTTAATTTACTTAACTAATGATTAAAATTTGAAAACGTGAACAAATTAACTATCTAATTAACCCGTAATGTCTTTAAATTTATCTAATTTAGTTTGTAGTTCATTCTATACTGGTGTAATGAGGTGAAATAATAAAACCAATAAGCGTTGTGGTCGTTGATTATTGACGTAAGAAAAAAAATTCTGTTTCTCTAGATGATATTGTACTTCGGTAACGCAGTAGCATCATTCATGTTATCCTTCTTCATTTCGCTGACATTTGAAGCGCCTGTGGTGAACCTGCTCAAAATTATGTTAACGCCACCGCAGACGAAAACTTCGATGGAAAAAACCTCGATGGAAAAAAACAGTTCCGAAACACAAGACTCGTAACACTGACAAATGTTATTATTATATTGTAAAATAATAGCATAATAATATCGATACAGCTACCTTTAAGTATAGTTTATATTAAATTATTTTCTTATATTAATTATAGTACTTAAATGTAAATTATAAATGTTTACCAAGAAAATAACTAGATGTTTTTTTTTTTTTTTTTTTTTAACCCTTTTAAATATGTTAACTTGCTTAGGGAGTCTATGAAAAAAAATGTCAAACGATGACAAAATACGTACGTTTACTTGAGAACCAAAAAAATTCGAAGCCAACAATTTTTGTTAGATATTTCATTACGAATAACTGTGAATATTACCGTCAGAGAAGTGTTATAAACATTTTGTCAACGAAATGTCTGAAGAATAATAATTTTTTAAGAACTCAAAATATTACATGTTTAATTTACGTTGCACTTGTTACGTAAATGTATAAGATGTTGCCCAGATTATGATCCTTAAGGCATGAAACTTGTTGTATAATTTAAAAACTTGATTTATTATGTATTTGATTTATAATAATTAAGACAAATATATTTATTTATTATACAACTAATTTTATTATATTGTTGTTTGTACACTCTAATTATCTAATTAGCTTTTTTTTTTTTTTTTAATGAGATCTTAAATAAAATTATAATACCTCGACAATTATGAACATTGATGTTTAAATATAATATGAGAAGGTAAAGCTCACACTCTTAAATTTGGAGGCCTGCTTGATTTATAAAATTAATCGTATGTATAATTATGTTAATGTCTAATTAGCTTTGTTCATATTTTATGTTACAAAATCGTATAATTGGTAGCAATAAACATCAGAGAAAAAAACTGCTAAACGTATGAAAAATAGTATTTTTAATGAGCTGAACAATGTGAAAGGCTATATAATGAATATTATATGCACTGAAATAATATTCTAAAAACAATTTATTTCAAAACGAATAGCTTCAGTACTAAAAAAAAAAAGAAATTACTACTATCAACATTACAATATTACATTGTTACTATTGGATTATCATTGGCATTAAGATCATACACAATTTTTGATCACACATAAAATATTTATGAAAGTAATTTATCATGCATAATAAAAATTTTAAGCTATACCATTGATTATAGAATAGATCTATTCTATAATCAATGGCTGTACTGTTTACGTCTTCAAAATCCACGCAAAAATATTATCAGCTTAAATGGCATATCTAAACAACGGTAACGGTTCACACGTTCATTATCATTATTTGTCCGTTATCATTTATACGCCACCTCGATTAAATATAATTATTGTAAATCGGAACATCGTTTTCGGTACAATTCTTCATGCAATTTATCATCAACTTCAGCTATGCAATATAGTCATACATAGAAGTTATTTATATTGAAACCTACGATAAAATAAGCAAAATGTTTATTAAACAAATTTCCAAGCCTCTCTTCCCGTAAAAATTGGATTTAATCAGGAGGTGCTTAGCCATCGGAGATGAGTAGTGTATTACTATGATTCATAACACACCACTCATCTGTGTAGAATCCTCTGCATGCAGCACGTTTTCTATTGTACTTTCAATTTTCCTATAAGTGGAAACTATGAATTTTCCAAGATCAAAAAAATTGTTAATTTCTTTATAATTTTTTCTTATATTAATCAATCGAATAATTTTGATTATAAATTGAAAATCAATCATTTATATACAATATTTTTAAATTGAAATTTATTTTATTATTACATTTTTTTAAAATTAATCTAGGTATTCAATAAATGCAATTATCAGTATTAATCAGTAATTTTTAAATTGCTTTATTATGTATTTATATATATATTTTTTTTAATCAATCGATTGAATATATTTATTTTTTAATTTTATATTTATAATTAAATTTATTAAATTAGTTAATTAAAATAAAGCGACAATATCATTATTTAAAATTCTAAAATGAAAAAAAATTAATGAATTTAGATTATTGATTTTAGATTTAAAATCAATTTTTTCAAATGATTAATTAAAAAAAATTATAGTAAAATTAAAATATCAAAAAAAAAAAAGTGACAGTAAAATTATTTAAAAATTCTAAAAAATAATTAAAAATGATTGAATTAAATTTATTAAATTTAAGTATATAATTATATCAGGGCTTGCAAACTATATAATAATGGTGTAATTATAATCAAGGGATATGAATGAGAGCTTAGATGATTTGAAATGTTGGTCATTTTCTGATAAGATGCTGGCCTGACTTGCAATAATTCAACTTCTCCCATTATACAAGCTGTGTATTTATCATTAAAAAAAAAAAAAAAATAGAAATAAAATTATTGAAATTTAAAAAGATAATAACCATTGAATTCAAATTTTCGATTTAATTAATGCAATTGATTAAATTAAAAAAATATGTATAAGTGACAGTAAAAATATTTAAAAACTTATAAACAAATTTTAAAAGTTATCGAACATAAGTTATTGATTTTTTTATAGTTTGTAAATTAATTTTTTAATGATTTAAATGAGAATGCTTAGATGGATGAGTGGAGTGACAAGAGAAGATAGAATAAGGCGTACTATTGATGTAGCGGAGATAATGGAGAAGATGAGAGAAAATAGACTGAGATGCTTTGGGCATTTGATAAGGCGAGAGGAAACAATAGCAGTAAAAGTGGTTATGAAAATGAACGTCGAAGGGAAAAAAAGAAGAGGAAGATCAAAAAAGAGATGGTTAGGTACGATTGAGAATGATATGAGGGCTGCTGGTGTACGTAGGGGATGTAGAAAATCGATACGAGTGGAGGTTTAGGACAAGGGTGGCCGACTCCAAATAGAAAGGCGAAGGAGATGGAGGAAAAAAATATGATTATCACCTGGGATCACTGTGAACTAGTATTTCTGGGGCAGTACAACCTAACCTAACCGATTGCTAGATTAGACGACTGCAAGTCAAAACAATTCCATGTTAGTTCGTGATGCCCCTAAAATTGGATTCTATACGAAAGTTTACTACACCAACGTAATATGTATGCGCTACACGATGGTTCTAAGGCGTACACTCGAATAACACTAAACGTGTAATATAAGTGTAAATAATTACAGTTGTTGTTTTACAATTATAAATTATTTATCGTTCGTATTAATCAGACCTAGCGAATATGCATGAACAAACTGTGTTTTGCTGATGAAGAATTATTTTATTCCGTAAGTGGTACGTGCCAGCGACGGATTGGCTAAACATTTCGGCTCGAGATATTACCGCATGATCGGTCCACCGTTCAATAATAATAATTTTCCATAAAAATCTCCTTTATTAATCTAATGCTTATAGAACTGTTTACATCACGTTTACACTAGGTTTTATCACAATCTTACAATTAAATACAATATACATAAATAAATTATTTTTATAAAATAATTTTTAATCCAAGTACATCGGCCCAGTATTATAGTACGACTACTGGCCCACCGGGAACTTTCCCGGTATCCCGGTAGCCCAATCCGCCGCTGATACGTGCCCAATGTTACCAGCAATTTCCATAACATTAAGTTCAACTAGTTAGCACCTAAACTGAAATCGAGCACTGCTGTTGAAATCCATAGCGCAACGTTGAGCTGGTGGGTGAATAATTGATACTCGATGATAGTGGCGATATGAATGAGGTAATTGAGAAGCGGTTGCCTCTCGATTTTTTAAATTATATAAAGGTGGGTTAGTATTTAATATATTCATCTTTCGTCAATTTTAGACAAAAATAACTTACTTGATAAATATTTGTGGTGTTAAAATTAACAGTATTTTACTTTTATTTATTATTCGTTTAGCTTAAATCGTAGATTAAATATCATTAATTTAAATAAAAATGTAATAAATTAGGTACATTATACTTAGCTTACTATTAATTAAGATACATTTTTCTGTTTTAATTAAAAGAAATATTCACATTTTTTATGAGAACATTTCATAGGCTCAAAATCATACCAGTTTTCCATTACAATTATAGCTATTTTTCATTAAAAACAAGATACTTTTTCTAGGTGTACTTTATGCGTCTTATATACGAGTATGTTAATAATTTGCTAACTACGGTTAAAATATACAAAATGTATAAAATTCTTATGCCGTTGATCGAATATTATACAATTTTTAACTATACCATATATTCTTTAAATTAGATTGTTGGTTTAATTATTATCATAAAATCAAATTGAATAAACGTTACAAACTGTAACACAATTGATTTCAAAAATGTATTTTAAAATATGTTACTGTATAGTACTTATATCACAGATGGATTACTAAGCCAATATTCAAATCATAAATCTTAACTGATTAAAAAAAAAAAAATTACGCTTTTATATAAAATAATTAAGATTAAGCAAATTGTAGTTTTGAAAAAATACATGAATAGTAAGATCATATTAATCATTATACTTTATTCATTATTATCATTATCAATATCATTTTAGTATATTATAACAATTTATTTAATCCGAAACTTCTTAACATTTGTAAATTTTCCTAGACAAATGTATCAAAAAAATTCCGTTTCACGACATAAAACCAATATTTAAATTACAAAACTTACCTATTAAAAAAGAAATAATAATAACCGTTTAAATGTAATTTAACTTTATCAAAAATGTTGAATAAATCAAACCTCAAGTTGACACCGGGTCCCGTCGAACTGTGTTCGGCACGTAGTAATTTGCGTTTGTCCACATCGCGTGGTCGGCAAACCGCGGGTCGCTGCACCAGTGTTTGATCCGAGATCGGTAGTGTTGCCATTTGCTATATTCGCGTAAGCACGCCAGGAACTCGCTGAGTGTGTGATTTGTCGCCCAAGTCGTCTAGTCGTCGTATTTACCACCACGTCCGACATCATTAAGTATTCGCATAATTTAATTATTAATATACTCGTATATATAATCCGACTGTCGTGTACCCTGTGATCATTGCACCAGACCGGAACAATCACGCCCCCCCCCCCGAAAAAAACTAAAATTCATTTAAATTTCCTAGATCCCGTGCATAAATTAACTTGATTCCATTCCTTCTTCGTTCATTGATTCCATGTTGTAACTGTGCAATAAATGTTGCTTAACTGCAAACTGTC